CCACTGCGATCTGGCGCTTGCTGTTGAGGTCCGGCAGTGCCCACTGCGATCTCCCTATAGGTGGCTGGTGCAACTGCGCTGCCCGAGTGCCGCTGAGTGACCAGCTCAAGCTGCTCCCGCAATGCACAGCGTCTTAAGTCTAAAGTCTTGTCAGTCATCAAACGCCACGTTGGGTGCGAAAGTCGAAAAAGAGTCCGGGGGGCGTCAGTACTTGCCGATTGCCGTTAAGCTTATATCCTGAGCGACCTTTTTGTGGACTAGGCAGAGCTCAGTTATATTACTTCTTCCGTGGGTGTGGGAAGTTCCGGCATCAATTCGTTGAATACTTTTTCAATTGGCCTGAGGCTTGTCATTCTCCCCAGTCAGCCATCCGTAGTTCGTTCGAGCTGGTTCCTCAGTGCATTGTATATATATATATATTCCTCTTGTTCCGTGTCTATGACATCGCGCCTATTACCCGGGATGTCCATTTTCCAATTCCATACACGCCCTGATGCTCCTTGATTGTGAGAGACACAACAAAAAACGGAGGCACACATCGACCAGTTCCTTTCCCTGCTGTTTCTCCACATGTTTACGCCTTCACCGAGCGCATCGAAGGATGGACTTAATGTTTGCTTCGACAACGTCGGTGGAGAGACCTTGGAGGTGGGATGGACGGAGTGACTGGCATGTCACGGCGAGTAGTGTGGGTTTGAAAACATGCTTGGTCTGCGGTGGAGAGATGTAGATATTATGGGTGAGTAATTTCCTGGTTCTATATTGATGTTGTTTGGCAGTTTGTTGGTCAAAACAGGGTTATATGGTGAGACAGTCCCTTTGCAGGAATGGTTGACTTTTGCGCGTATATTGTTCCACCGTTCCTCTTTGCGAAGTTTTTGTCGTTCAAAGATTGAGTGTTTTGTCCTAGATTTCCACACTCAAGACTTGTTTCGTTGCCCAAGGGTTCTTGCAGGGTCCGGATTCACCACTTCCCCCCGCTTCGATTCTGTTCCAACTGGGCAGTGAGAAGGGGGGCCCGGTAGGGTTATGAAGGAGGAACGCCGATGTGGAAAAAATCTGACAAGGGTCAGAAGGTCCAAAATTAAAAAAAGGACAAAACGGAGCAAAAAAAAACAGGATGGCCTAGCCATGCCTAGCCAGGAAGGTCTTTCATTACCCAGTCAGAGTCAACCGGTTCCAGGCTGCACTTCGGAGTTTGCTTCAACTGTAGAACCAAAATGAATTGGATACAGCGGAAATCAGTGGATCCTCCAGTTGCCCATCCTCGTCGTCCCTACCTCGTCGAACCACTGTGATTGCTTTGACACCACCATCCCACCCATCAGCCTAGGGGGTGCTTGATGGCTGAATTGCATTCAATGGGGCAGCCCATGGGTGTACCTACCATGGCCCATAGGGCAAGGGGTTTGTGCGGAGTGTGACCCAGGCAATGCTCGAGATGCTGAACGACGGGGGGACGGTCGCCGTGTGCGGGGCCATTTCGGAGTACGACACGCGCTGGGAGACTCACCGAGAAATTGATTTGAAGATAGTGAACTGTAACTGCTGGAATAAGATCGAAAAACAAAATGGTCGAAACGTATCAAGTTTTATTGTTGGAACTGATTGCCAAAAACTTTGGAATCGTGTTCCAAGCCTGTTTGAAGCACCAAGCAAACCTATACAGATCAGTGCGTAGTATTGAATAGTATTGGCACTGAGACTGGCTGGGTTGATGAAAAGAGGGCAGAGTACTGTGGACATTCCAAACGTTTCGTTCCGAAATCGAAAGATAGTGCCATTGTACCAATCAAACTGACATGGTCTCGATGGTACGTGTTTCATCCGAATCATGTGGAGCGGCAGCATGAGGAGACGTGCTTTATGTAGTGTTTTTTCATGTTGGATTGACGGGCACCTGATCTGCGACGAAGGAGAAGAGAAAAGGCGTGCGAGACTTGGCGATTTGGTCAATCTTGGGTGGCAGCAATCGGAGTTTGCTTTTCCGCTCGACATCATACTCATCGATATTTAGATTGTTTGGCTATCTTTAAAATATTGCTTTATGTTTTGTCAGCGTCTATCACGAGTCCTTTTGTTGTGTTCCAAAAGCAAGTTGTTCCAACGAATTCATGAAGAGATACTATATGATGTCATATCAAGTTTATATCAAGCTTATGTCTTTCTCCAACATACTGTAACCATCCGTAACCGTAATACCCTTGCTTCTTCTAAGCGGTGTGTGCATCTGCCGACCTGCTTGACACCTTGGTTGTCCATCCCAGCTGCTTTTGGGCTTTGGCTTCCAGTTGGCCTAAGCCGTAGCTGTTTTTGGGCTCAAGATCTTTCTTGAACCAGCCATGGAGCAAGAAAAACATGTCGTATTTTTAGGTGATGGATGCGATGGTGCGTTGCTGCCGGTCTCCATCGGACACAGCTGGGGGTCCGCTGCAAGTCACGGAGGAACGGGCTGGGAGATCCCCGAGGGTCAGGCCTCCTCGTCCTCAGACACCGAGGGTCAGCGACGAGGCCGTGTGCAGTTTAAGTTTCGCGCGGCTCTGAAGCTGGAAAGTCCGTCTGGAACCCCCGAGCCCCGGCGACAAGGTTTGACCCACTTGTTTTGTTTTTTGTCCTTTTGGGTCGAAGAGAAATCTGACACAGTGTTGGAATGTGGTGTCATTTGGACTATAGGAGCTGCCTAGAATTGGTCATCAACTTCGGAAGGTGGGGCGAGATTGATTTTGGACTGCAAAGCGGCCGGATTTGATTTTCCCTGAGAATCCTTGGGCCCTCTTCTGTGGCAGGGGTCGAACCCAACACCTTCGCAGGGGTTGGAGTTCCAGATGATTGTCTCGCATACCCAGTTCATCAAACATTCTTCAACACCATTTGTTTGGGTGCGGGCTTCAGACATGTTTGATATGTTTATACGTTTAACTATTTTCAGCCATTTGCTTAGGGCGATGGATCTCACTGACATGTATTTTTCTAGTCGCTTGAAACCACCAACCTGATTGTTTGTTTCTCAAGCTTTGGCACCATACTTACACGTCTTCCGTGTGTTAGTCGTGGCAGCGTCAATCATTCTTGTGCTGATACACTGAGCTGGGGCTTGCAGAAAAAAAGAGAACTAGGCTGGAACATTCCACCTGTTTGGAGTTTCTACCCGCCACTACGGTAGCTCAGACAGAGAGGGCTTCATTTCTATGCGCGTGTTCGGGTCCTCAGGATGTTGACTCGGATGCCCATCAGCCAGATGAGATGATCCAGTCCTTGAAGAATGGGCAACTTGTCATCCGTTGAGGCGCTTGCCATGGATTGCCAGAAAATGCGAAGTCCGGGAAAATTGGACCGTGGCCACCAGTTCTCAAGGGAGTCACAGGTGGCCAAGCCCGATCGAAGTTCCCCTTTTGTCATCCTGAAGACCTCGGAAGACTGGACATAAAGTGGTATACAGCATTTCGTGAAGTGGTTTCTTCTGCACTGCAGGGTGATGGCACAAAGACTTGGCTCCATTTGGCCCCTGGATGGCCGAGCAAAAACGACACCCAATTGAACAGATTGCCTCATGGTTCACACTGTTGTTTGGGGAGGTTCTTTTGATTCGCATCCACATAAGAGATACACAGCCAGAAAGTGACTCCTTTGAAGTGGATCTTGGGAAAGTGTATGTCAATGTATATGGTTTTATAGTGTCCAGGCTGTCCAGGTCCATGTGAAGTTCACCTTACCCATACTCTTTATGAGCTCATGAAGTGTATGATCGTTTTTCTTTCGTCTTCAGCTTGACTCACCGAACTCAGAATCCGGGTTCCACAGCGCAAGCTTCATCACGGAAGACATGACACGACCCCCCCCCAGAACTTTGAGGCACGCAGATTCTACTCGGGGCGAGCAAGGGGCCATCAGAACTCATCAGAAGCCAGACAGGAAGTCTGACACCCGGGCCTGGCTCTGGCAGGTCCTGTCTTTTTTGGGGCACCAGCTTTTTTGGCAGCGTGTTTAAGAAGCTACTAGTAACAAGGGCATCGCTACGAACGGAGCAAGGACGCCACGAACGGGGCGCTGGCCCTACTAGGAACAAGGGCATTGCTGGACGGCGTTTGTTGGAACCTTCCAGGACGACCGTCCGCTCAGGGCGTCCAGGCTGTCGGTCAGTACAGCGACCAAAGCTGCTTCGAGCAGTGGAACTCTCCATGAGTCCAGAGTCTTGCCGGAGACGAGACTCAGTTCGGGCGTGTGTGTGTAGACCAAAGGGTTGGTACTAGTGTTGGTACTATATAGTATGACTGTAGTTGATGATCCATCTCTCTGGGGTGTCATAAGATTTTGAGTTTGAACAAACCATATATAACCAACTCATAAAAGCTCAAGAACTTACTTCGATTTTGGCTTGCTTGATGCAAATGGATCAGGGGATGTCTACTGGTATTTCTTTTGTTTCAATTCGAATCAAGGGATTTCAAGTGCATAGCTAGTTCAATCAACATGCATGTTCGCATGTTCCATGTTGCAGGTGGCTACAGAGCTTTGAACTCGAAAGAGATGGGAGGGTTCACTTCAATGGCAGTTCTGGGGTCTCACTTCTAGCTGAAAAGGTTACTTGACAATGTTCAACTTCCACACCCAAACTACACTATACACGCTATAAACATCTAATTAAGACAATTATAACACACCCAGACTTTCTTGCTTGCTCCGGGTCTCATCATAGACATTCGGACGGCCTTGCTCCGCCAACGTTGGGGGTCGATCCTTTTCAAAGGATCCTGAAATCAATGTGCTCCCCAAAATCCATTGAAATCCAGAAACATGGTCTATCAATGTCTATCATCAATCAAGTGTTCGGCAACTTGGGCAGTACCTCCACTCGTTTTCAGGCAAATGGGACATGATGGGACCGACCAAAATCCTTACAGGGGGGTCGAACGCGAACCAATCCATTCAAGTCCCTACCCAGTGGTTCTCCAAGCAAACCACCAGTTCGCTGTCGTGGTTCCAGTTCGACTCAAACCCATCGATCGAACGAGGGCGCCTGCTTCCTTGGCTGCCTTGGATCCACTGGGCATTATAGTTTAAAATACATACCTGGAAACCCAAAGAACCAGGAACCAGTGGTCACTGGAATTCACCGCTCGGGGCCGTTTCGTGAATAACGTGTCGACCCGCGGACAGGAGTTTCAACGTCCTCGGAGTGCCGATCGTCGGATTCAGAGTTTCGATCTTTGCCGTGCCTTCCTGCAGTGTCAAGTGATGAAGAGACGCTTGGCCAGGAGGGGAGACGATTTTGGAAATTCCACATGAGAAACTGTCGAAAGGGTTCACCTCAGTAGTATATATTATACACAAAATATGAACATATGGAATGATATGGAATATTTTCAGACAAATTAAGCAAACCATGAGAAACGATACCAGCACATGAAAAATGATCCCCGTTTCAGTGGATGTGCATGTGGATTCCGATGTATTGCTTGCTGCTGTTTCCAGACCATGAAGTACACGGTATGGACTGAGATTAGGTTTGTGCTCTTTGAACATGGTCAAATATGGTTCTGCATGTGTGTTTGGTGTTCCAATACATAATTTGCTGGAGCGAAACAAAAAATAACAAAAACTCAATCTAAACGTCTAAAACGATGCCAAAACCTACGAACATTTGCTTTGCTAGACACTGGCTAAGTTTCAGTGTAACGTAATGTAATATGTTTCCTTGGAAAACGATACTCAAACATAAAAGTTATACCTTTCCAGCTATTATGGCTGTCAGGTCATCTCCACAGGAAGAGCAGCAGCAAAAGGACCAGGACTGGTCTTCTGCCTGGGCCACTCATGCACAGGGCGCCTGTAAAGCATGCCGCTTCTTTCACTTGAAGCGAGGAGGCGAGCGCTCTGCGGCGACAACGGCAACCGTGTACAAAAGTATCAGACGATTACCGTCTCAATTCATGTACGATTCCTGGGCAGACGATCAACGTTATGACGACTGTAGTACATTGGCCATGTGCTTCGAGATGCTTCGAGGTAGGCAGGTCATGTTGCAGTACTTTGTTGTCATATAATATATAAGCTGTTGATTCATAACCACCCCCATATGAAGAGGTTGTTCAATTTTGAGGAGGTGTATCAATCAAGAGATCGTTTTGTTGACTAAGCACTTGCGACTTTGTTGTAGTTTGACCTCCATTGTATTAGTTGACCGAGCCAACAAAGTGAGGATTGGAGCAAGCTGTTGGCAACGGATGGCAGCTTTGAGATAGCTAAATAGACAATATTAAATAACTATAGAGCTCTATACTGTCCATACTGCTTCTTGCTCCGCTTGCCACTGTTGTAGTAGAAGAGTACACCAGAACATCCAAAGAATATCCAACAATGACTCATTTTTAAGCTTACAAATACCAGCCAATGTAGAGGCAGATAATTACTGTATAAGGATATATAAAGGATCGTTACGCCGCACATCCTCCAGGTTGCCGTGATGGAGACGCTTGTCGCTATTGCCACTTCTGCAGCAAGGAGGGAGAGTAGTCAAAGGCTTTAATTTAACTGTAATTACTGTTTCTAGTTCTGTTCAGAGCTTTTTTCTAGGTCCACACACTGTTTGACTGTCCAATCTTGTGATGGTCAACCTTGGAAGGAACAAGCAATGGCTGATCTCCTACGAACCAAGAATGCAGAACGCCGGATCAGAAGGCGCATGCGCAATGGATGAACGAGCTGTAGACAAGTTGGTGGCGTGCACCATGTGAGCACAACACTCTAAGAAGATCTATCATTAAGAAGTAAAAAGCGCCTTGCATGGGTAAAAAGAGCCGTTCGAAGTTGATGCTATCAGCCTTGTTTTGTACCGGTGTGAACGTCTACTACTGGAGATCAATACGCTCCATGGGTGTATGAAGGAAAGTTTTTGCAACATAAACATACATCATTCATACACATAGTACATTATCTTCACACCGATGATGTATTTGTTTTTCTTCAGAGAAGTAGTGAACATGAGGAGGAATGGATGGCGTTCTCAGTGTCTCAATCCCCACGGAGTCGGAAAGGACTCGTTCCAGCACTGCCACCAGTGCACCGAACTTAAGGAAGAGTTGAGACCAAGAAGCCGGGCAACTAGGCTAGCAGGTGCTAGCTAGTACAACCGCTAGCATCCGCTCGCAGTTACAATTTATGATAATTTATGATAATAATCTATAGTATATGGATGTATATGGCATGGTATATTACTAATGGTGCTATTTCTTCAGAATTTCTCGTTCTCCCTGTGACGAATGGGCCACCAACATGTTGCGCGTCTCCGAGCGAATGGGCGCGGTTTGCCCGGGCTGCGCGGCGGTGGCCGCGGCGGTGGACGCCGCCCGCAGCGGTCGAGAGTCGACGAGAGTCGAGGATGCCAAGGATCGAGTCACGAAAAGGCCGATTTTGTGTTTTTATGCGAAAAAGACACCATGCAACAGTGTTCAACAGGAGAAAGCAAGGGTGAAAAGTAGCGAACTTCCACACTCTTTTTGGGGTTCTCCAGTCCTTGAATTTTGGACACAAAAGATCACAGTGAACTGTGGACATCACAGTTGCTCAGATGCAGTTGAATCTGCAAGTCATGTCTTCCCGCCTCCGCACCTGGATGCCTGGGTGACAGAATGCATGTCCGAATTTTAGAGACATTAGAGGTCCGATCTTGCCACTCAGCAGGGTCATTTTAAAGGAATCTTGTGTCTTGAGCCTTGTGGACAGCCTTGTGGACATCATTTTTGTCAGTTGAGAATGTTTTTGATCATCTCTTTTTTGTTCGAAGATGTTGGAATCCAAGCTGCGGTTTTCCCACTTCAGTGGTGCTTCCATTGCTGCCAGGGTCACGGATCACGGGTCAACGGGACCTGTTCGTTCCCCGCAGAGTGCACCCAGCTTCTGGCGCCGCCCAAAACGGGACGTTCGATGAACCGTTTTGGCCATTGGGGCCGACCATCAGATGGTTCTATCGGAGAGATCCTACATGGGAGATGTCACTGGAGCCTTTGTCAGGTGCTGTGTCACTCTTTCAGCCGTACTTGAGAGAGTAGGCATCAGCTTCACGATCCATCTTCTCAGTTGCTTGGCATTCTGCTAGAGAAGCGGCACTCACACAAGCTGACCTCCTACTAGAAAACATGCTCAACGTTTAAGGGTTTGGTTGAAATACAAATTGATACCACGTGGCACAGCTCACTGGAGCATTTCGCCGCTGTGCGAAACAAGTTTGCTTCTTTCCAGCTTGATGTTGGGCAATCACTGCGCAATTGTTTGCATCGCGCAAAACTCCGAAGTCGGTCCATATTGTTCACTGCTTGCCCGCCGCCTCATGGTCAACTTGGACCAGGATTCAATGAACAACTGAGCAACGTCATAAACCTCTATGGAAGAATTTAGGCAGGACTTAAGATTATGAATCTGTGCGAAAGGACAACTGCAGTTGGGGAAAGCTTGGCGAAAGGTTTGGAGAAAGGCTCTGATTTTTTGATGAATGGATTTTGTTGCGAAAGGGTTGGCGAAGAGGTTTTCAGTACAAAGCATGTCATCCAAAGATTCATGATAACCAGGCGAAAGGTTGGCGAAAGGTTCGCGAAGATGTGGCGAAAGCAGTGGTTGCAGATTAGGAATGATTCCCCTTTGCTGATACTTTTCTTAGATGTAAGTAGCAGAAACTCGGCGAAAGGGTTAGCTAAAGAGGTTGTCGGGTGAAGTGGGTCGGCGAAAGCAAAACATGCAGCCGCGAAAGCGTTGCGAAGGGACTGGCGAAAGGTTGTTATAATCTTAATAAAAGTTCCGGATGGTTTTTGACACCGCTCAACTGAATCTGAGCAATGGCCTTGTCAAGGAAGTCTCTATGCTTTGTGCTAGCTTTGTAGAAGCTTAAGGAAAATGAATCAAGCATTGAACTTGGTGGCCTTGTGTTTTGGTGATCACGGGCAACGCGAGCAGTTCAAGCTGACGTCGTGCAGCGCCTCAACGTTCATTTGTGTGTATTGCAGAGGCAGGGTCCGAATTTACAAGTAGAACAGAGGAACAAAATAGGTGAGCCCAAGTAACACACTGGATCGGCAATTCGTCAATCAGGCCCACTATTGATACGTTGGGATCCTACCTCGGAATCCAGTGGGAAGGAAACTGTTTGCAATTTTTTGAGAAAAACCTTCCGCGCAGGCATGGCCTTGGAGCACAGGCTTCAAATTCCGTTCGACATAGTGCGCTAGGCCTCTTTCATTTGCTGCCTTCAACTAACCAGCTAGCACGGAACTGCTGGAGATGCGTGCAGTCAAGATGAAAACAGAACCAGGGAGGTTGCATTCACTTCATTGATCTTCATTGTATATCAGCATGTGAGAGCAGGCCGGCCAAAGGTACGGGTGCGTTTGGCCATTGGTTCCAGACTTGGCATATTTGACACAACCTAAGCAACCCAATTCAGATCAAAAATTCACCGTGCAAGAGCACTTGGACTCACCCTTTTGTTCACCGTAGATCACCAGTCCGACCAGCACCACTTTTTGCGGACATGAGTACCCCATAATTCATGGGAGAACATGGTAAAATCATTTTTGAAGCAACCCGAAGTGTCGGCAAAGATTCCACGCGTGGTTTTTTTGGAATATTTGTGGTTGGAACCGTTGCGTTGATGGGAGGATGGCCGTCCCGTTGTGGTCTTTACCTCAGACCACTCAGGAAACCTCTTCCAGGCTGTGGCGAAGCGACTACGCATTGAGGGTTTCCTGGTCATGCAGTTTTCAGAAGAAGAAAAACAAGACTGTGACTCGGCAAAAAGAACTATATAACTTTGTTTGACTCAAAGAACTGCGAGTCACGTGTTTCACATGGACGATGTCAGTGTTCTTGCGAGGTCAAGACACGATCACCAAGTGGCTGTGACCTGGAACGATTCCTTCGCTTCGCAGACCGCACACGTTGCCGCCATCCAACGACCCAGAAGATCGGTCGAGACCCAGTCGTAACTGGGTGTGTTGTTCCTCAGTACACCAATGTCCAATCTGAGTCTAGCTAACACATGCTAACACATGTTTTGCAAACGATGACATGAAGAAGAGGTGTCCTGTCCCGTTCGGGGGGACATGTGGGGATCTCGCTCGCGGTTACGGTGAGTACGGACCTCGGAAGGCGTGGTCAACACTGGTGGATATCCCATGTCAGGGGGACATGTCAACTTTTTGATCATTTGCAGCAACTGATATACTTTTCAGATCTTTTCAGGTACGGAAGGAATGATTGCATATGCTGCAATATGCAGCATATATATAATGTATTGCTATATGTTCTGTGAAACGTTTTATAACGTTTTCTTGTTTCGTTCTCAGGATTATCTATAATATATGATTCCATAAGTGGCCGCAAGCTTTCACGGCATGTTTGCCTGGTGTTTCAAAGGGTGGAATAGCTGGGGCCGCAGAGCGGCTGGTTGACCTCGTAGTCGAGGTGGTTCCCAGAAGCGACGGATGAAGAATGAATCGACCGATGAACAGACTCCAGTTTAAGCTATTGAACTGACTCTAGTCTCAGGAGGTCTCAGCCACTTCTGTTCCAATGCTTAATCTAAACCATGTCCCGCTCTCTCACATGGTTCTGACTCCGAGAAACGCTTGAATAACGGCCCTACCGAATTGTAAGGGATGCAACAGGTGTAAACGCTCCATCGATGATATCGCAGTTTTCACCAAGTCTCTCCAGTTTTCAGCTTCATCGCAGTTGTTCCTGCCTAGATTAATCCATTCGTGTTTACATTCCCGATGATTCCCGCGATCCACCCACCGTCCGACCGTCTGCCGTCCAATAGGAAGGACGGTACGATCAAAGAGTGCGCCACCTTTGTGGATGGCTTCGAGAATTTACCGGATGGTCGCTCGGACCAAAAAAGGCCAGAGGCGATCGTCTCATTGTTGTTCTTCGACGTTCTAGTGAAATAGGGAGGCTTCTGTTCTCTGGATGAGTTCTTCGAAGTTCTCTTCACGCACTATTTAAGGCGGCCTTAATTTTTTGAGCCTACGAATGCTGTAGACCACGAAAGATTATTGGATGTAGGATGATGTAGGATATTAAATACACTCCCTGAAATCATGAGTTACGTGGATGGCATGGCTCCCTTGAAGATGATAAAATCCTCATACCAAGCAGGTGATGCCATCCACGAAACCATGATGATTTCCAGGAGTCTAGGATGATAGAGAGTCGAACAATATTGGGATGACTGTGTGGACTTGGACTTTGCAAACGTGCAATTTGAGTCGAAATTGATCTCCGAGTGAGTGGTGTGGATAGACATGGTGGAGGCCCCAGCGTCGGAAAGGTTAATGAAAGACATTGTTTTGGCATGTGTCTTGAGTCTTGAATTTGTAAAATCATTAAAATATGAATATATATATAATATATATATGACCCCGAGATCGAAAAAATTGACTCATGTTTACTCCTGTCTTCGACTCGAGATGTGGCCTCCGATTCGTCGGAGTCGGATTGTTCTCTCCGAGCTGAGACATTTGGATACCCTCAGCTCAACATCATTTGAGAGAGACTGAGAGAGTATAACAACCCCATCTGTTTTGGTATAGGGAAAGATAGAGGGTTTTTTACACAACATCATTTGTTTTGTCCAAAGTGTCTTCAATTAGGGACTCGATAGGGGTCACCGCTTTTTTACGTGCACACTAGACTCAAAACAGAGGTTGGTTGAGCCTCATTTTGAGACAGGACCTTGTCTACAAGTT